GGCTCTGACTCAGGAACTGACAAGTGAAAAGCTCTGGGAGCTACTGTCATGTGGGCTTTGGGGAGTTCGGCAAAATACATGTCTCTCTAGTTAAAATAGAAAAATATAACAAAATAATAGTAGGGCAAGAAAACTCACCTGGGAAGGGGACTAATGCTGCGCAGGAATGGGCGTGTGCTGAGCAAAGTCTAGGTATATTTGCTGTGTACCAGTATGCATGCAGATCTGTGTGTACGTACCTGTGTATGGTTAGACATATGCTGGTGTGGAAGGGAAATAAGGGGGACTCTGAGAATAGGAGTGTGCAAGTCCACATGCATTGGGTGTATGGGTATGTGTGTGCACATGTGCCTATGTTTGATGAGGACTGTGGGTGTGCTTAAGGGGGCGTGTGCATGTGGGCGCACACACTTGAGCATGTGTAATACATAGAAGTGAGAGAAAATATCAACATCCTTGGTCATATTGTCACAAGCTGAGGTGCAGCCAGAGAGATGCAGATGAGATCACCGTAGAGCTAAAGGAGAAGCTGTCTCTCCCGTCCCTGCCCTGACACAGAGTTGATTACCTGTTTTATTGAAAATGCATCGATGTGATGCCTTTCCGCTGAGCAGTGCTGCGTGGGAAGCGGATGGGGCATGTCAGCGTGGGGCTGAGCTCTGAGAGATGGGGTTAATTACTGTAGGAGGCCTGTTTTAAACACACATACTACCATTGAGAATACCTTCGGAAATATACTTCCCATCATGTGGGTGTGTGTGCAGGTGTGCATGCTCAGGATCTGCTGTGCTCGGAAACATGACAGGGGTTTTGTCCTGCAGGGCGGTGTAACTCTGTCCCATCAGCAGGATGCAGTGTTGTTGTAGCTATGTTGGTCCCAGGATATTAGAGAGACAAGCTTGGTCAGAGGTGAGGGAGGGTGGGGGGCATTGCCCCCCACCCCAAAAAAAAAATTACAAGCCTCTGGTAGATGTGGAATTTGCCCCCCCCACACACACACACACATGGCCCCATTGGCCTAACTGGAGTTGCTCCCCCCGTCCCCCCAATATAGAAGTCAAACTATGCCTATGGGTTAACTAGTGATGCTAAACAATCTGTTCCACTTTGTATTTAGGCATGACATTTCCCAGACCTGAAGAAGAGCTCTGTGTAAGCTCAAAAGCTTGTCTCTCGCTCCAACAGAAGCTGATCCAATAAAGGATGTTACCTCACCTACCTTGTGTCTCCCATTACCAGTGTCCACTAACTTCCCCTGAAGATGGGCTGGATTTTTCAGGTGTAGAAGTATTTTCAGTGTGGTTGACAATACAGTTCCCATTGTATTGACTCTATGCCCTTTCACATCACTTCTTCAGCCTCTGACGTAAGACCCAGGAGTGCCCAGTCAGATCCAAACATATTCTCTGACTCCAGCAAAGCGTCCGGGGAGCAGAGTGATGACAGTGAGAGTTTTAAAAACATCTTTTTTCTCTCAAGTACATTTTATTCAAGGGTTTCCTGGATCCCCAAGTGGGAGTGCCATGGGGAGGCAGGCTGGCATGGCTGCAGAATGCGGGATAGAGTGCAGATGGGAAAGAGGTGACAGGAGCCCACCTGAGACAGCACCCTGGCATGCAGCTCAGTGTATTTCTGACACCTGGCATTAGCTGGTAGCTGTTGGAGGATAAGTCTCTGTCTCTGGGCTCGTACCCTTCCATAGGCCAGGGCAGCCGCAGTAGAGTGCCCACAGGCTTGTTCCCAGACTACGGGACATTCCAGTACTTCTGTGAATAGTGCGACCCCACCCCCACTGGTGTGACCTCACACGGTGCATATGAGGTCATACCTCAAGGGGTGCCGTTCTGAAGAGCACGCCACCTTGCCCCCACTGGCGTGACTTTGCATGCACCATGCCGCTGGGGGTGGAGCAGCACATTCACCACATTGGTGTCCCATCTGATACCAGTCAAAATCACATTCGTTTTTGTCTCAGTACTGGGTGGGGGCAGACATTACTAAAGCTGGACAGGCCTGCCTCAGCTGTGGGTTCAAAGAGAAAGTTGTGCCCAAAGTGTTTTCTCTAATGAGGAGAAAAATGAAAGCAGCCAAGCACCCGTCCTTGGTTGCTCTGGTGATTTCCAGGCGGTCTCTCTCCTTGACCACTCCTGCTAAGTAAGGCACTGCCATGGGGGCATTTTACCAAAGCAGGATGGCTTGGCAGCGGGGGTGGGACGGGGAGCTTTTCCCACCTAGGTCCGTGGTTCCCATGCAGCTGTGGTTAGCAGTGACTGAAAGTTCTTGCTCCCTGATGGCTGCATCGCCTGTGGCAGCACGTTGCACTCAAGCGTTTGATGGGACAATGCCCACATGTGACAAACTGGGGCACTGAGCAGCAGCCTTATGAACAGCCTTGTCAGAGGCCACGTGTAAGCTAACGCCTTCTCATGCTTTCATAAATATAGGGGGAGAGTAGAAGCCATTATGTATGCAGTAGCATAAAATCCCTGCTTAGCTTCTCCCTCAGTCCGGAGAGGGAACAACAGAAGAGAGCAACAACAAATCCTTCCCCCTCCCAGATTTGAAAGTATCTTCTTTCCTCATTGGTCCTTCTTGTCAGGTACCAACTATGTTATTTGAACTGCTTAACCCCTTACAGGTAAAGCAATCCAGTACAGCTGCCAAGGAGGGATTTTATGCTACTGCATACATAAAGGTTTCTACCCTCCCCCTATATTTATGACACATGCTTAGACAGGTCTCTGAGGTCATGGGAGTGGGGGCACATGGGCTAGGGCAGGGTGAGGAAGGCTGGAGGCATTTGTGGCCATGCTGCACCCATACTGTGGATAGCGGACTTCAGTCTGTAGGCTTGTTAGTTCCCCAGAACCAAATGTACAGTAGCTGCAGCCATCTCAGTATCCTGAGACATCCACGTGCTCTTCAAAGGTGGCCTTGAAAAAGTTAGGGACTGGCACACTTTCCTGGCTAGCTGGGCAGCAAAGGGCAAGAGAAGGTTTTCATCAGAAGACAGTTTGAATCTGTCCTTGAGAATAAAGCTGTTTTCATGGAGATTTACCATTCTGGGCATCACGTAGGTGGCTGGTTCCTTGGGTGAGTGCACTTATCACAGCTAGAATTTCTCCACTAAAGAAACATGTGTGTCACCCTGGGGCACTGGAGTGGGTAGAAGAACCATTGCCTCACCCAACACATTGCAGATCTCAACATCATTCCCTAGGAGGCCCTCACCTGAGCACAGTTCTGAGGTGTTTCTGAGAACTTCAACATGACATTTCCCTGAGTATGGACTCTGGGATTTGATCCCATAAGAAAAACTGTTCATTCTGGTTTCATTGCGAACCCCACTGCCGCGAGGTGCCCTCGGTTTTGTCACCATGCTTTGCCGAAGAAAGTCAGAGAGATGATACCAAAGAACCTCCAACATCAGTGCTGTGAATTTTTGGTTTATCAGGTAAAAAGAATGAGGAGTACTTGTGGCACCTTAGAGACTAACAAATTTATTTGGGCATAAGCTTTCATGGGCTAAAACCCACTTCATCGGATGCATGCAGTGGAAAATACAGTAGGAAAATGTATATACACAGAAAACATGAAAAAATGGGTGTTGCCATACCAACTCTAACAAGACTAATCAATGAAGGTGGGCTATTATCAGCAGGAGAAAAAACAACTTTTGTAGTGATAATCAGGATGGCCCATTTCAAACAGTTGACAAGGTGTGAGTAACGGTAGGGGAAAAATTAGCGTGGGGAAATAGTTTTTACTTTGTGTAATGACCCATCCTCTCCCAGTCTTTATTCAAGCCTAATTTAATGGTGTCCAGTTTGCAAATTAATTCCAGTTCTGCAGTTTCTCGTTGGAGTCTGTTTCTGAAGTTTTTTTGTTGAAGAATTGCGACTTTTAGGTCTGTAATTGAGTGACCAGGGTTAAACAGCCAATAAACACGCTTAAGGAATTCCATGCCAAAAAAGCTGAATTGCTAGAAATTGTTTTCCCTGACAGTACTGGATTTCCTCTTATTTGAACTGTGGCTAGGGAACAATATGACTTCCAAAATGCAGCAAAGACTTTGAAGCAGGGAATGGTGACAAGTTAATTGTTATCTTGCCACTTAGAAATGGGCTTCCTGATATCTGAATGGAGCTTGGTGCAGAGTGGGATTGACTGCTTTTGAGATGTCTGTCATTCTTTGTGCATGCTCGTGTCTGATCATGTTTACAGCTGGTTGAGTTTGCATCTGATTCCAGGTGTCACAGCTTACTTCCCCATCCCATGTTATTGCCACATCTCACCCCCTGGTTGCAGTTACAAAACCATTTGTGACTGAAACTGTAATGCTTTGAGTGCAAGTCTGAGACGCGCACTGACTGAGCTGCTCTAGAGAAGCGTGAGGTTTCCTTGTACTGTGCTGACCTGCTTTCAAAGAGGAGATTCGTTCCTAAATTAGGGCCAACTCAAAAAGGGGTTACATGAATATCTTTTGTGTGTGTGTGTGTGCTTAAGTAAAGGGAATAAGGTGAGATTTAAGCCCTCAGAGTTTGAAAATGTGAAAAGTGAAGAGCAGCTGCATCACTTTTGATCACACAAGCCTTTAGAGAAACCAAGAGCCTTTTTCCCAGGGCTTCAGTCTCTCTGTTCTGTAATCTAAATGAACACGGAGAGTGCACCTTTAAATTCTTTTTAACTCTCTCTTCCACAACAAGCTGTTCGGCTGGGAGCGGCCGGAGCACAAGAGTTTTACTCCTGCTGACTTTCATTGAGAAGCTTCCTCTGCTAGGACCAGTGCTTTCTTCTTTGGTTTTACAGCAATGCCTTTGATGTGCTCATGGGACACTGCAGAGGGTAAGCCACTGGGGCAGCCTCTCCGTCAGCCCTGTCCTGAACAAGGCAGCTTTAGCCAGTTGATTAATAAGCCCAGTTCCCAGGGCTCCTTGCTGATCTTCTTCAAGTGCTGTTTTCTGACTGTTTTTTGTTTCCCCTCTGCTCCTCTCTCCAAGGTTATGAAGCTGAGGAAGCTGGCCCAGCAGGTAGCTAACTGTCGGCAGTGCCTGGAGCGCTCCACGGTCCTCATCAATCAGGCGGAACATATCCTGAAAGAGAATGACCATGCACGGTTCCTGCAGACTGCCAGGAATGTGGCTGAGAGGTGGGCTTGCTAGGCGTTACCGGCCAGCCAACTCGGGTTTGAATCCCCAGGAGAAAATGGCGCATGTGATTTTTTGAGTGGTAGAAAAAATAGCTATCTCAGCAGTTCTTAGCACAGACCCTTATCCCTTGGAAGCTCATTTATCCTGTGAGAGTTTTCCCTCAACCCTGCCCGTTTTCTGACTCTCTGAAGCATCTTTATCTGCTTACTAAGCCCCACAGCCACAGAAGTGGTGTTCACAAAGAGTACTCTTGCCAGGTATCAAAGTGCTTTACAGAGGTACAGCGTGCAGCATGGCACAGGGCCACCAGCAAATTGTATGACAGGTACAGGAATTTGAGAATGGCCGGTGAGAGTAATAGGTGAAACATTGAAAGAGCGGTGGCACTAGGGTTCATCTGCTGAATAATTATTGGTCACGGTTACCTCCCTTTCAGTTCCACTAGTGGTGGTTGTGTCAGCCGCCCTCTGTGCTGAAACACCAGGAATTGCACTGAGGACCTCCAGAGCTAAAAGCACAAGCTGCTACTGTGTGAACTAGAGTCAGGTTCTTTAACTGGGGCTGTAACTGGCTCATATCCTCTGTGGACTGGCCATAGAGGGGAAGCTGTAACATACACTCACTAGTGGGTGTAGACAGGGCCCCAGGAGATTACTGGATAATCCAGTCCAACCCTGTTTAGAGCTGACTGGCACAACTCAGTGCTGAAAACACTGGTGGGTGCTGGTGCTCTAAGTCACACCATTGCAGCCACCAGGGGAGAGGCAGCAGTGGCAGGAGCGGCTCTAGGCACCAGCAAAGCAAGCACATGCTTGGGGCGGCACATTTCCAGGAGCGGCATTCCCGCCACCCTTTTTTTTCTCCTGGCCCTGCTCAGTCAACCAATGAGCCCCTGCATGGGGCAGGGCACTGGGGTCAGCGCTGGGGTCCCGGTCCGGGGCCAGTCCCTGCCCTGGCCCCCCGCTGCCGGGGAAGTGAGGCGATGCGGCTCCTCCCCCCTGCACGCCCCTGACACATGTGTCACAAGCGGCGGAGGAGCCAGAGCCGAGCAGAGCGGAGCCCAGGATCGGGGCAGGACCCACGGGCAGTAAGGGACCCGCTGCCCCGGGCAGCTCGGCGCTGGGCGGGCGCCCCTGGTCCGCCCCCGTCCCCAAAGCTGCCCCACCCCCCAGCCGCTCTGTTGGTTACTGTCCCCTCTGCAGGGGTAGGGCCGGGTCTGAGATCGGGCTGGGGGCCCGCAGTCGGGATGTACAACCCCGAGCACCTCACTCAAAACACAGCTATAGCATTACGCATTCTTTTAACGTTACCAGTATCAGTGGCTTCTGGTGAGCGCAGTTTCTCAAAACTGAAATTACTAAAAAATTATTTGAGGTCCACCATGTCTCAAAATCGTTTGTCAAGACTCGCATTACTTTCAGTTGAAAGTACCATTGCAAAAAATGTAGATTTCACTGAATGATTAAAAGACTACGCAAGTATAAAAACCAGAAAAATTCAGTTCATATAAATTCTTTTAATTTATGAGAAACTGGGCACACCGGAAGACCCTAACGTTTTTCATTACACTGTATAGTTGAACCCAAATTGTTTGTAATTGTGATTTTGTTAAAATTAAATGAGTACACTAGTAGGAAATTGTTTTATTTCACTAACTACAGATTCTCTGTGTTCATTATTTTTTATTGTAAACAGTCAAAAAAACCCAAAACAAAACAAAAAAAAACCATTGCAAAGTGAAAATGTGTAAAAGCCAAAAAAAAAGGGGGGGGGGCAACATTTTTTTTTTTTTTTTTGCTTGGGCGGCAAAAACCTAGAGCCGGCCCTGAGCAGTGGGAAATATTAGCAGAAATGTCCTAGTGCAGACAAGGCCTGTGAGAATCCTCACTAGGGATCTTATCAGATGTGGGGTGCCACTCAGTCTGGAATCGCAGATGTCCAGCTGGGACAACGGGAGGCAAGTTGTTCAGAAGGTGAACATGAAGTGTGAATGGGAGCATGGCCTTCCTTGGAAGAACAGGCAGCGCTGTCACTTAGGCAGCCCTGTCCAGCCCAGCATAATGTTTGTGATTGTTTCAAAGAGCAAAAGGAGGATGCTTCTGTCACTAACAACAACAACAAAAGCAAGCAAAGCCACCAGGCCCTTCCCCAGGGGATTGCTGCTTTGCTTCCCCAGAGAAGCTGCTTTCGGTGATGGTTTTCCTCCTGGCATGTTACATCACTATAAGGCTGTTTGCACCTTTTTAATCAGCAATCTAACTGCTGGCTGGGTTGTCCAAACACACCCTAATGTATATTGATGCTCTATTCTTTCTTTCAGGGTCGCCATGGCAACTGCATCCTCTCAAGTGCTGATACCAGATATCAATTTTAACGATGCCTTTGAAAACTTTGCTTTAGATTTTTCCAGAGAAAAGAAACTGCTGGAGGGGCTGGATTATCTAACAGGTTTGTGCTGATCCTGCTTTCCTAACACATGCTGTAACCTTCGTTCTCCTCTCAGATGAGGTGGAAAGTATTTTAATATAAATTACATTGTAAGTTGTTCTCGTCTTTTAAACTGCTTGTTGATGCTGTAACTGGGCATGGTAATGGAGCAGCCAGTCTTCAGTCCTTGGGCTTTTGGTGTTCAGGCATGTTCTTAGGGTGTCTGTTTCTGAAATTTGTTACAATTCTCTGCCCTTTCTGCAAAACCTCTGAGTCACATTCTCATCCCCAGGCTTGAGTACAGCATCCTCCTTCTCGGACCCTTCCCATCACTTCTATCCAGTCAGCTGCTATGGCCATCTTCCATCTGACCATGTGACCACCCTACCCCACTTCAAATGCTTCCCATGGTTCCCCTATTTCCACCCCATCCAGTTGAAGTGTCTCACTTCCAAGGACCTTCACAGCTCTGCCCCTTCATATCTGCTCTCATCTCTCATCACATTGGCTGCTATCTCCTACTTCCCCTTTCCCATCTCCTCTGCTTCACCAGTGGTGCTGACGTCCACCACTTTGCTGAATACTGGGAATGACCTCCCTGAAAAAATCCCTGGAATCTCCTTCAAACCCCACTTCCTGCCATACTGCCCACAGGAAATGAGCAGCCCATAGTACATTTGAAAAAAAAACCATTTAACGTGTAATATATTTTGGTGTTTCCTCTTTGCTGCCCTTTGTATGTGTCTTGAGACCTTAAATTGCAAGCTCCTTTGGACGGGGATCATGTCTACCTTTGTGTTCAGACAGCACCTAGCACATCTGGTCTCTGATCCAGATTTGGGTCTCTGGGTGTGACAGTAATACACATAAGAATAAAAGGTACACCATAATACAAGTAATAGCAATGAAGGGCTACTCCCGTCCTGATGTGCTGCAGTCCTTTTTGACAGGTTTTCTTCTACATTTGAAGAAAGTGGGTGAAAAAGCTGCCCATGTAGTGTATAGTATCTGCAGAGGGCATAGCCTCAAGGTAGCACACAGAAAATAGCCGTACTGCCGTGGCCACACTGCTATGTTGAGCATGCTAGCTCTGCTCAAGCTATAACGAGCACGTCTAATTGGGCTGGGAATTACCTCACCCAGCTGCAGTAGAGACATACCTGTGTTTCTTTACAAGGCTACTTAAAGCTGCTGAGGAGACAAACGCACCAGAGAAGCTAGCTGATCTTTGGGTCCATCTATCACATTTCCAAGAAGATAATATAAGAGGAGAAATATCATCTGTGTCCAGAACATTTATCAGATAAAAAGGTTGTTAAAAAATCAGTGCCAACCAGATGCAGGGCTTTAATTAGCGGTCTAAGCCTTCAATGTGACCACATTAATCATAGATCTCCTAGCCTTGTCCCTCTTGCTTGATGCCTCAGCCCTCCTAGGAGCCTCCGTTTTGTACCATGGAGCCTCCATTTTACTCCAGCAGTCACTCAACAACACATAGAATTGTTTTTTCTGTGCAGTGTCTGTGCTCCCTCCATATAGAGACTGTCTCCATTATGAGGTGTCACTCAAGTGGATGTAAAAACCCCTTACTATCTCTACATTGTCATCTGTCGCCCATGCAGCACCTAATCCACCGTCTGTCCGAGAGGAGCTTTGTACGGCTTCCCATGACACCATTACAGTCCACTGGATCTCGGAGGATGAGTTCAGTGTCAGCTCCTACGAGCTCCAGTACACCATCTTCACCGGCCAGGCCAACTTCATCAGTAAGTAGCCATTTGCTTGCAGTGAATGCAGTGTTGCCGTGAAGAAAGTAAAGAGAGCATCACCAGGGATCATAGTCCAGTCTGGCAGGAAAGATGCCATCGGTCAATGTCAGGAAGGGTTCAAGGGCTACAGCAGCATTGCAGCTCCCATATCAACTTGCCAGAAACCTTGAGAGCTGTTTAACCCCCAAAATTAGTTTTGGTTAGAAACAAAATTTTGCTCTGTTTTTGTTTTTTTGGGGTATTTTTGGAAGTCCGGTGAAAACAGCATGTGGTTGTGATTTCTCCCTTCCCCCGCGGCATTTGCAACCCAGCCTTGCCGCAAAGGGCTCATGCACAAGCGCCAACAAGGGAAACTGGCCAATCAATTTTCATTCTCCAAGTTCAGCAAAACAGCAGAAGTAAACAATCAGTGTTAACAAGACAAAAGTAAATGAGGTTTCCCCTAAGGATTGCCATCTGAGAATGAAGATGGGGTTAACAATCCAGGCAAGCATGTTCATCTTTTTTTCTTAATGGGAATTTTAGCTTGAATGTCTTTTTAAAGTGTTCTCTGCATCCCGTTTGTAAATGGCTTCTGTGTGGGTATCCAGTGTCTGGGGACGGGGGGGATGGGGAGGAGAGCACTTTAGAGAGGATTCCCTGCAATTTTCACCTTCCTCCCTCCAGGCTCTGCACCTGGGCCACTGGTCTTTGGCTGAGGAGGGTTGCATGGGCACTTTCCACAAGGGCAGGCTGCAGATTGACACAATGTGTTCTGCCCACTCCCTGGGGACTGAATGTTTTGCCACCTCCCCAGCACCCCACTTCCAGTCAGACTGGGGTCCAAACTTGGGACCCAAACCTGGGCCTCTCACAGCTTGGTGCAGGGCACTGGGGTTGCTAACCCACAGCAGTCTCTGCTGATTTACCATTAATACTGCTAACACTTTGCACTCATATACCTGTCAGTGAGGAATGGTTAACTGCCCCACTGAGGAAGGCAAGTATCAGCCTCCTGTTATGCGTGGGGAAGCTGGCACTGAGGGAAAGTCGATTGCCCAAGACCTCATAGGTAAACAATGGAAGAGCTGGGGTTGGAGTCTGAGTTGCTGTCTACCATGCTCAGTCCTTTAGACACCAGCACCCTGGGACAGTCTGTAACAAAGAACTTGCCATGCTGTTGGCTACTGATTTAATCAAAGTGCAGCGAGAGAACAGAAGTTCCTTTTCCCTTATTACTTTTTTAAGGCCCCAGGACATGTATATTCCATTGCACTAGAGCTTGGTCACTCCCCATTCTCCCCCAGCCCCTGTCCTATTTGGGTAGCATAAATAAACCATGGAAGCTTTGGGGTCTGGCAGCTAGCAAGCTGGCTTGCCCAGGAGAAGTGGGAGTTTGGAGGAAGCTGTGAGAAGAGGTTAGGTGAGGACACGCCTCAGGGCAGTAAACGAAATTATTAAGGGGCAGAGAGGAACTTTGAAGTGCAGTTTGGCAACTCTGTGCTTTGGGGGTCCAGAACTGAATTGTTTTGTGCTGCATTGAGTGTCCAACATCCTTCAGTTCACTGAAGGATCCTCAGCATTAGCAAATCTAATCTCTCTGGTGGCTGGTCATTCGGGGAGCTACCAAGAGATGTGTGCATAGCAACACGCTCACATAATTCCCTAGGATTATACAAATAGGACAAAGCTGGTGCTCAGTGAGCTGCAGGCTAAAAATGAAATTTGTTTTATATACCCCACACAACAATACCAAGAGAAGTCTCTAGGTAATTCTTTCAGAAGATGCCTGTCTTATCTAATTACTTGTCAACCCCACTACACATTTGCTTGGCCAGAAATAAGATTAAAGGAACATGGGGGGCTCTTAGTGGTTGAAGCCTGTCAGCACGTAATCTCTTAGTAAATGGGCTGTGGTCAAATGGTGAGGAATCATCAGTGCACACTTCAGTTCCCACCCCATCAGCAAGGACTTGGACAGTAAGCAGTGAGTGCTGGCTCTCACATGGCAGTAGGCTGAATGCTGCAGTAGCCATGCTGTGTTAAGGGCTGTCTTTACAAGGATTCCACAGGGTTGTAGCCACCCGCAACCTTGCTGCTAGAGCAAACAGGGTGACAACTATTTTCATTTGTAACTCAACCCTAACCATCTGTTCTGGGGTGAAAAATTTGGAAAGCAGCACTGCAGCCTGGCTGGGATCTCCTTGAACATGAACTCCTGGTTGTGTCCTAACCAAACATTTTGTTTTCTTGGGTTTGTTGACATATTTTGTGCAATTCACCCAAACTTGTCATATTTATCCCTACCCTGTTTTATACCTAGTTGTGAAAAAGAGAAGGTGTGTCCCCTCTACACATGCTGCATCTAGAAAATAATTAAATGGGAGGGGGTTGGGTTTTTTAATCTGAAAAATATTTTCATAGTGTATTTAAATGGCTCCCAGGACTCAGGAAGTTCATAAAGGGATACGAAGTCTTCCACGGGATTTACTGTTATGTATTTGCATGGCACAATAGATGGGCGTGGGGCTATTCAAACCTAGAACATGAGAGAAGGCAGGCTTGTGAATAGAAGTATTTTAAAAAGACATTTTGTGCCCCAGGATGCTCACTGTTTGCAATGAATAAGGACCAGGAGTGGGGACACAGCAGCAGAAAAGGGAAGAAGAGAACCCCACCATAAATTCTGGGAAGGGGATGCTGCTCTTTGACACCATTGTTTTGTTGAGACAATAGATTGTTTCTGCTGATTTATTCTGAATATTTCATCTGTTACTGCTGTCAAGAGCGAGATATTCTGTAATTATATTAGCACTGGAACAGAGGTTAATGGTGGGGAGATCAAGTCCTGCCCAAAAAGCTAGTAACCCAGGGCTTGTCTGCATGGGACATTAGTGCACAGCGAGCCGGGCTGTGAATCTAGAGCACCCTAGTTTTCCATGCAGTAACGTCCCTTGTGGACACTGCTACAGTGCACTAACGTGTGCAGTGTGCTGTGACAGACTGCTGCGTGAAGCGGGAGCATGCCATCCATGTTGTCATTATCTGATGGCTGTCCAGTTGCTTGTGTAAAATAATTTTGGGGCTCACGGTCCCACTTCATACAGCCCAGTTGTGCTGCAATTGGAGTCAGGGGAGCAGGATGAAGCCCTTAGTGGACACAACACACGTCACAAAACCAGGCATTGCAAATGGCACCAAGTCCCCTAGTTGGCAGCCTCAACAGAGAAGCCAAGGACTGAAGAAGCCATTGAAAGATAGCCCCGGAGGTGGGTGCTGCATGCCGGGGAAGTGTCAACAGACTTTCCCATCCACTGCCGCTGCAGGACCTGCTCTGAGGTTGGCACAAAATAGACTATCCTGTAGAGCTGTCAGTCCAGCGTCTTTCCCCAGCATTGCAATCACATAATTTAGTTTTTTTCTCTGACCTCGCCAATTTTACCTTCTAGTCTCGGATGCCTGCCTCTGATTTTGGAGTACCTCGCTCACCTGCATGGTGGAGTGTGCCCTAGGGTTGGTCTGTTACTGTTCACCTTTGTCTCTTGTGTAACAATCTCTGCCTAGCAGCAAAGCAGTGGTTGCAGGTTTTTTTCCTAGCATCTCACAGCACCATGCTAGCCTGGGTCAAACAAAATCAGACAGCACAGAGGAACATCAGAAAAGGCAAATCTGGGCTGGCTGTTCTTCTGATCAGGCTCCAGATACAGCAAGTCTGCTGTTTAAAATAATTGTCTGTACCATTTCAAAGTTTGCATCTGACATTAGCTAATATCAGAACAAAAGTCCAGTCACTAGTCAGAATTTCTTCAGACATCAGAAATCAGCTGAAGTCTTGGCAATAAAGCAATATGCAAATTGCCTTGGGGTTAAAATTTAACAAACGTGCTAAACATCTACTTGATTCCCCTGCCCCAAATTAAGAATACCAAACAAGGTTATTCCCTGCTCTTTGCTAGCACCATTGATTAGCATTAAGAAGACTCAGTAAATTACAGACTGATGAGACCAGAGATTCAAAACGGTGGTTGAGATGACTTGTATCTTGGTCATTATTCATCATCAGAGCTGATAAAAAACTGGATTGTAAACAAAGAAAATGTCATTCTTTTGATTTTTACAGATGTGTAGGTGGCAAAAGTACAGAGCCTTTAAAGCCAAGAGATATTGATTCTGCCCTCCAACACAGTGATTCATTTCTCCAGTAGCTAGACTCGTGTTCATGGCATGAGGGAATATGTGAATTTTCTCATTTTAGAACATTGCCTGCCTCCCCTTTCAAATATGATGTCAAAAATTAGTACAATCTGAGGAAGCAGGTACAAAGTTCCCATGACAGTCTGTGGAGTTGGTTTTGAGAGGGCTCTGGTGAATGTCCCTCCCTTGATATCAGAAGTATTATGCATGTTCAAACAGGAAATTAAGCGATAACCACTTAGCTACATGATCCCTTTCCTCCTTCAGAAAGGTATAATGTTTGGGCAGTACGAGCCGTTCCATACATTTCCAGAATGTCCACATTTCTATGTAACAGAAACACTGACCAGTGGTTTAGCACTTGCTTCTTTAGTCTCTTGAGCATCTATATAAGGCTCTCAGTGCACCTCACAATTGTTAATTTCTTTACCCAGACCTGACTTTCTGAGGCAGGGCAGTGCTATTATGCCCATTTTACAGATGGGGAACTGAGGCACAGAAAGTGATTTGTCCAGGGTCATGCAGGGAGTCTGTGGTGGAGCTGGGAATTGAACTTGGCTGCCACTGGGCAAGCCTTCCTCTCAATAACTTGTTTTCCAGCAGATATTATTTCCTCTTCCAAGTCAGGTCATTTTAAAGCTACCATATATTCACATATGTTCAGGGCTGTTCTAAAGAGGATGGTGGACAATTGGTTTCCATGTTCACTGAGGGTAGGACAAGAAGGACACAACTTAGTTTGCAGCAAGGGAGATTTAGGTTAGACATTAGGAAAATCTTGGAATCCCAATCACTGGAGGTTTTCAAGAACAGTACTTCCAGCA